TTTATTTGGGAATTCTGGGAATTCTGGGGGGATTTTATTGGGAATTGTGGGGAAACCATGGGGGGATTTATTTGGGAATTCTGGGGGGATTTATTTGGGAATTCTGGGAATTCTGGGGGGATTGATTTGGGAATCCATGGGGATTTTTTTTTTTTGGGAATTCTGGGAATTGGGAATCCGTGGCGGTTTTTTTTGGGGAATTGTGGGGAATCCGTGAGGGGATTTTATTGGGAATTCTGGGAATTGAGGGTTGGGTGTTGGGGAGATCCGGTGGAAATTTGGGGATTTATCCCGGTTTTTTATGGGATTTATTCCCAAAATCCCGGCCTGAGCTCGGTTTTCCTGGGAATTCTGGGAATCCCCTCCATTCCCAGCCTGGGGTTGGATCCAGCCCCATCCCAAGGGAAGGGATTTTGGGAATTCCCTGGGAATTGGGGACTCCAGGAAGGGTCTCCCTATCCCAGAATTCCATAAAAATCCCTCGGGATGGATCCTGAGCCTCCTGGATCCCGGAATCCCGGAATGGCTTCAGTAATTCCCAAATAATTCCAGAATAATTCCCAAATAATTCCAGAATAATTCCCAAATAATTCCTGAATAATTCCCAAATAATTCCCAAATAATTCCTGAATAATTCCCAAAAAATTCCCGAATAATTCCAGAATAAATTCCCAAATAATTCCAGAATAATTCCAGAAATATTCAAAAATAATTCCTGAATAATTCCCGAATAATTCCTGAATAATTCCCGAATAATTCCTGAATAATTCCCAAATAATTCCAGAATAATTCCCAAATAATTCCCAAATAATTCCCGAATAATTCCCAAATAATTCCAGAATAATTCCCAAATAATTCCTGAATAATTCCCAAATAATTCCCGAATAATTCCCAAATAATTCCAGAATAATTTCAGATCCAGTCCCAGGCTGGGAATGGAGGGAATTCCCTGGGAAAACGGGGAGGGATTTGGGATTTGGGAAGGAATTCCTGGGGTATCCCAAAAAAAACCCCAAATCCCAGAAAATCCCCGGATTTCCTTTCCCAAATTCCATAAAAATCCCTGGGGATGGATCCTGAGCCTCCTGGATCCCGGAATTCTGGAAAGGGAATGGATTTGGGAATGGGAAATCGGGAAATGGGAAAAGGAAAAAAAGGAAAAAATAAAAAGGGAAAAGGAAAAAAAATTAAAAATGACATTTTTTCCTTAATTTGAACTTGGGAATTTCGGGAATTCCGGGAATTCTGGGAATTCTGGAGCTCCTCTGCGAGCTCAGCCAAATCCCAGATTTTTCCTGGTTGATTCCAGGATTTTTCCCAGACAAATCCCAGATTTCTCCTTCCTGAATTCAGGATTTTCCCTGGCCAATTCCAGGATTTTTCTTGCCTCATTCCAGGATTTTTTGTGGCCAAATCCCAGATTTTTCCTGTCTGATTCCCAGATTTTTTTCTGACCAAATCCCGGATTTTTCCTTTCTGAATCCTGGATTTTTCCTGGCTGAATCCTGGAATTTTTTAGGCTGAATCCCAGATTTTTCCTGGCTCATTCCCAGATTTTTTCTGGCCAATTCCGGGATTTTTCTTGGCTGAATCCCGGATTTTCCGGGTTTTTCTCGGTTGATTCCAGGATTTTTCCTGCTCATTCCCGGATTTTTCCTTCTTTTCCGTAGTTCAAACTTGGGATTTCTGGGAATCCTGGGAATTGTGGAGCTCCTCTGGGAGCTCTGCCTCATTCCAGGATTTTTCCTGTCTGATTCCAGGAATTTTCCTGGTTTTTTCTGGTTGATTCCAAGATTTTTCCTGGTTGAATCCCAGATTTTTTTCCTGCCTCATTCCAGGATTTTCCTGGTTAATTCCAGAATTTTTCCCATCTAATTCCAGGATTTTTCCTGGTTAATTCCACAATTTTTCTCAGCTGAATCCTGGATTTTTCCCGTCTGATTCCAGGATTTTTCCTGGTTTTTTTTCTGGCTGATTCCAAGATTTTTCCTGGTTGAATCCCAGATTTTTTTCTTGCCTGATTCCAGGATTTTCCTGGCCAATTCCAGGATTTTTTCCTTGTTGATTCCAGGATTTTTCCCAGCTGAATCCCAGATTTTCCTGGTTTTTTCTGGTTAAATCCAGGATTTCTCCTGCTTTTTTTTCTGGCTGATTCCAAGATTTTTCCTGCCTCATTCCAGGATTTTTCCTGCCTCATTCCAGGATTTTTCCTGCCTCATTCCAGGATTTTTCCTGGCTCACTCCAGGATTTTTCCCAGCCAAATCCTGGAATTTTTCGGGCTGATCCCAGGATTTTTCTCAGTTAATTCCAGGATTTTCCCCATCTGATTCCCAGATTTTTCCTGGATAAATCCAGAATTTTTCCCGGTTAATTCCAGGATTTTTCCCATCTGATGCCCGGATTTTTCCTGGCCAATTCCAGGATTTTTCCCGGATAATTCCAGGATTTTTCCCAGCCAAATCCTGGAATTTTTCAGGCTGATCCCAGGATTTTTCCGGGTTAATTCCCAGATTTTTCAGGGTTAATTCCAGGATTTTTCCCGGTTAATTCCAGGATTTTTCCCATCTGATTTCCAGATTTTTCCTGGATAATTCCAGGATTTTTCCCGGTTAATTCCCGGATTTTTCCGGGTTAATTCCAGGATTTTTCC